TTCACTCTTAAAAGGAATCTATAACACATGTGCTATACACACACAAGTCAATAGACAAGCAAGTGTAGCACGCATACTATTTGCAGGATTTTTTGGAATCTTTTCTACATCTATAAACAAAATTCTTTTAGACGCACAAATAAAAGAATATAACACAAAAATAGCAACAAGACAGAACACATACAACGAAGAACATAACAATGTAGACACAACGCCAACAGCACCACAGTTACCACCCCTACCACATAACCATCCATTATCCCTAGTCCCACGTAATTTTCGAAATTTAGCCATAACACATAATCAAAATTTTAGACCAACCATATCACAAAGTCCCATCCAACATATAATGCCACACCACTCACAAGATGAAAATACTTATGAACAAATTATAGAACAACCCCATACCACCGCTTTTCAGTCTCAAAATAATAATTTTTTTAGCCCACGATGAGCCGACAACTTGGATCCCTACACCGATCAAATTCCCACCCAACCAACCTCACCACTCCAATCCCAATAATACCACTTTTTGCTTTTCCGCCACCCGATTTCCCCACCAGTAATGTAACATCCGGCATGAATTCCGATACTAATTCACACATCTCAGTTTTATACTCCATCTCACAACTCAATAACCCGAATATTGAAACCCCCGATGAATTTGCCGACTCTGAACCATCTCCATCAAATAATTTTCACACCAATTCCTCAAATTTTTCCCAACCCCCTTTTCAACCCATACTACCAAATAACCCTGTCCCAACCAATTCTACACCCTCTTATGCTTCCCAAGTCACTCCAACCTACTCCTCACTTCACTCAGACCAATCATCTCATTCTCCAGACACCCCCCGAATCTCCCCAGAACTAGATAATTTCATTACCCTACAACAACAACCCTACCACCTTGACACCCCAACCATAAACCAAATCTCATCCACAATAGATTCATCCAACCCTCCTACCCCTACACCCTCTTCAATTTATACCGAATCATTAGCACCATCATCCACATCTACTGAATCTTCACTCAGCACTAATAGAGCTTACCGCACTTTTAAAAGAAAGTTCCCCAACCATCCTTTCCCAGCGAAACCAGGAACAGCCCGTGAATATATCAACCATCCAAAACACACTAACACAAAAGAATTTTTAGCTATCACCTTACCCTCATTTCCACAATACACCTTAAACACCCCTCACGACACTAACGAGACACGTAACTTTGTAGACGAACACGTTTTAATGCCTACCCTTCCTTGGACCTCATATTATCATTTTACTAATCCCCTTTGCTTACCTTTATCTAACACTCACATCGATATAGAACGAAATAAGGACATGCTATATCGACTCACTACACCACTAACACCTAGACAATTTACTTACATTGGATATAAAAAATCACTAAAGACACACACTGCACCCCGAGCTAATGAATATACACTAGAATATTACGATCATAACATCATCAGAACTAACCAAGATCAATTCTTAGACGACGATCGCTTCGCTAACCCACAAATCACCGAGAAATTTTTCATTAAAACACCATATGTATTTACACTAAATATCTTCGATCGCAAGTTTGACCACATTATTTCAGAAGCACAAACAGACACACAAGCCTACGAAAGTTTTAAAGAACGCTTCCAAATATTTTCACTAACCTTTCATTTCCTTGCACCACATGAAAGAGATTTGCACTGCTCACTCGATATTATGTTGCGCACTAAACAAACACACACATATACTTATTATCGTTTCATCCAAAATCACTTTGACCTACACACTCCCTCCAGACAACCACACCATCGTTTTCAATTCATCAATTCCAAATACACCTCACCATTCTTTCTTAACTTCACATATTGCATTAAAGATACTAACCTTCATGGTATTCTTCGAAATTATGATCCCATAACCCAAATGTATATTTTTTGTCCCATCACCAAGACCTTCAACGCAGAAGAATCCCGACCCTTCCTTATCCCACACGAGTTTGTACAACCTATAGAAATCCCCATTTTAGAATTCATCCATAACACTAAATTCAATCACAAATTATATAATCTAATCCAAAACACACCTTATGAATTTGCAGTTGGCACTGAAGAACTAACCACCATTAAAGCACTTCAATTGCTTTGCGCCACTACTTCAAACTAAAAATATCATCCGCATTTTAGCTAAATTACTAACAACTTTAGATCTCATCCACGACATCTTCCCCCACGGTTTCTTCCCCGACGACTAACAGGTAAGTATGAATTATACATATTACTAACTAATTAAAATATTAGAACCATTCTTTATCCATGTTTTCTTTAGAATTTTAGCCTTCATCCAACGATCATCTGAAAAATTCACAAAAGAAAAATAAAAAATAGCAAACTTCTTCAAAACTGTTGAAAACCCTATTAAATTTTTGCACCAACAATTAAATAAATATAATACCAATGCAGTAATTTAATTTATAAATTTTTCCCCCACAAGCAGTAAATCTAAAAATGATGAAAATTTGTAACTTAACTTTTCCCCAACAACTAGCAGTAAAATTAAAAATTCTATGTAATAAATTGATAAAACGAAAATGCAGTACTAACCTTTTGATATTTCCATTCATTCGCACAAACATTATCCACACTCGCACAGCTCGCCCACGAAGAATTGTTTAAAATAATGAATTTCAGTTTCAAGCTTTCACACTCGATAACTCTAACACAAGATAACACGTTTCAAACTTTCCTTTAACCCGGTTGGAAAGGAATTATACACTAAACAACACTAACCAACGCAGCTTACTAAACACCACAAATCATAGAATAACAGCATGACTAAGAAAAGGAAACCAACGGTACCCAAACCGGATTAACCCAGTTTAAAACTGGATATTTTATTCTTTTGAAGACTATTATAAAGTCTAAGAAAGAAATAATAAAACACAAAAAAGTCGAAAGACAAACCCATACCACAAACAATTTGATTTTTGAAAAAAGGACACAACCAACAAGACATAAGAAAAACCACAACAAACCCAACATAAAACGTTGTCACATAACAGGACCTCTCACAAAAACCGCATGCAATCATACTCCCACTCCTGGCCTAACCCACCAGGAAGGACGTCCTGAGCATGCTCTATAGCCGGCCTAACCCACCGCGCTACATCACGCTTTGTGACCACACTCCTATTTTTAATAAGAGCTACTCAAGGGTGAGTAACTCTTCAAAATAACTGAACTAAAACAAAAAGCTTTTGTGAAAACAACTAACCAAAATCATAATTAAAAAACATTAAACTAATAAAAGTTTTATAAAATGTAAATTATATTATGCAATATATAGATCAGCATACAACACCAAAGACGAACATCCAAAGACAAAATGAACCCACTACACTCGAAAAAGAATGGCCAACCACAATCAATATGCCGCCCACAATCACAACTCAAAGGATTTAGAGTACGACTTGACTTCGCAGAAAAGGACTTCATTGAACTAGAACAATGACCACCTCGATGTTCAAGTATACGTACAGATCCGAGTAACCAGGCATCCCCTCCACGCACAATCTCCACGCCATTCCCAGACAAGGTCAAACACAAAGAAGTTCTCACCAATGAAACAGAAAAACCTGACATAGCCAACCATTCTGAAATCAGATTTGAGTTTGTTGCGAAAACCCAGTCGTTGTCTTGAAGAAGACACAACGATTGAATCTGGGACTTCTCTAATAAGAAAACCCAGAAGAAATAAGATGTTCGCCAAATACCAACGTCCATCATCCATCCTTTGAATTGCAGAAAGACTATTCTAAAAAACTCTGTAAAACCCGGATGGGTGGAACCTGATCTAAACTACATTTTATGATTGGATAAATTAGATATTTTACCAATGTAAAGTATTTAATATTAACCAATCATGATCCATCTGACTAACAATCCACTTATTTGTAAGTTCTGAAATTACTTGTAATTTCAGCACCAGAGAGATTTGAATTTAACTTAGAAGTTAGTTGAACTCTCCCGAGTACTTCAGCAGCCGCAATAAACCAGTATACCCTAGATCTATTGAGCCTAGCAGAGACTAGTTAAACAACCTGAGACTAGATAGTATAAGAGTAAGATTAGGATCGGTATTAGACTAAGAAGTTGCACGAATCTATCCGGCCGAAAATAAGATAGCGTGACGAGCAGACGGTGTACCCTATCCGAAATTACTCTATGAGTTATACACTTCGGTCCTAACTCAGAATAAAGCGAGCGAGCAGTCTTGTTCTAATTTACTTAAAAGCTTACAATACCTGAATATAAAACGTTAAAAGTTAGTTTTACTTGAGTAACGTTAGTTTACTTTGAGTATTTTACCGCATTTTTGGAATCAAGCATTTTTGGAATCAAAAATTCAAAAAACACCAAAAAAGTTTTGAAATTTCTTTTTGATTTATTTTTTCGTTTTTTTAATTTTTCTGCAAAAATTGTTTTTCCATTTGCTCATTTTACTATGACTGTCGGATATACCTAATCCGCAGGTTTTTCTTCAGCACGTTTTATCACACCACGCCGAAAAAAAAGCGACAATAATTTGAAAAAAAAAATTGTTGTTTTGTTTTAAGACAATGGTCGGAACATTCTGTGCTATTTATTTGCACAATAACCGGATTCCTTGTTTCTATCTGAATTAGCAATGCTCCATTTGATTACAGTATCAATTTCAGATGTGATTGTTGTGTTTCACATCTGTTGCGATGGTAGTGTTGACATTTTGTGTTGTAATGTGCTATTGATTTCAATATCGTAACTGTACTGTAATAGTTTCGGTTCTTTCTCATTATAGACCTCCACCCATATTATAGCTCCCCCATAATAGTAAATCACTGTGAAGAGGAGCTTTTTAAATGTTTATCAATCTGGGGGGCTATAATGGGAAAGACCCAAAGTATCGGCACATCTGGTGAACAAAATGACGTTTGTTTCAATCTTGTTTGTGTTTAGACATGTGTTGTACACGCTATTCGAGAATGCCAAGCATTTTTCTCATCTGTCTCAGTTGGAAAGAGAGATGATGTACAGGACTGAAATGGTTAGTACTCTAGGAACTTTTAATACTAGTCGGACGAGAATTGGTCAATCAAAGAATTGCTTAAATTTTCTTCTTGGTCTTCAGAATGTTTCATGACTTAATAAACGCCTAAAGGTCAAATGACTTATTGAAATATAAGTTCCAGAGATATCTCGCTATTGATTCGGAAGAGTTGACGTGTTGCAGGGCTTGTATTACTCGTACTTCAAGTCAATGATAGAGGCACCCACTGTCGCAGAGGGCATTCGGTCGATGACTCACGACAACCTCACAGAGTACCCCACAACAATCAACGCACTACAGAGATTCAACCTTTTGCCAGAGGTTATTTGATATTATTTTGTGATTATTTGACTTGCCATTATTTTGTTTCTGGAGTGGTAGATAAGGGTGAAACTAATCTTCGTAAAATTGGGAATTACAATAATAATAACACTTGCGATTAGCAAGCGTTATCAAACTTGAGTAAAGACTTTTTTCCTGTTATCAACTTGTTTAACAGAATCACCTCTTGAATAACTTGTATATCGGAGCATAATAAATTCAAACTTTAATGCGTTCCCGGCCAGCTTAGCCTGGAGGTAACTAATATGTCTGGGGTGGCAAAAATCCTGGGTTCAAATCTGACGTCTTTAATGTTGCATTTAGTGTTTGTTTCACTCCTACAATTTGTAATTTTTTCTTACCTTGACTTCGTATTTCCTTCTTTGTTTTTTTTAGTTTCGCTAAAAAATTCCTCGGCCCAATTTTTTTCGGCCGATTTTTCACCGCCTTAATGACCTAATTTTGGGTTGTTTCAAGGGAAACACTAGTTCTCTCCTCTCCGCACTTTTCAAGTTGGTTGTATGTTTACCAATCCGTTAGTTGAAATTTCTTGTTTTTTTATTATGGAAAATTTATTGGAAATTTATTTATCAGAAACTTTTGCTGATTTTCAAAAAGTGGTATCGATTGGAAGATTCCAACTCCCTGTTTGCCTGTATACTCCCATTAGAGTATCTTTTTACTTGATCCCTCTGTCTACAGCCTTCGAAAAAGTCTGTAGGGTAATATTTGACTCATATTGTGGATTTTTTTCGCTTTCTGGAAACCGATCCCTCTCAAGTCTGAATTTTTGATTTCAATGGAAAGAATGGTTTTGAACAGCTCCCTGCATGAGCGGCTAGGCTCAATTTTTTTTACACATTAAGTTATGGTCCTCGGAATAGTCAAATTTCTGATTTTTGACCATTTTATGAATCGAAAACTAGCCTCTCAAATCTGATATTGTGGGTTCAATGGTGCTAACGGGTAGTAAAAAGCTCCACCTGCATTATCATTTGCGGCCACTCACAAATATTTTTACGCAAGAAGTCATCGCCCTCGGAAAAGTCTTTTTTTTTTAAATTTTTTATCGTTTTTTATTTAACTTTGAATTATTTCGATTACTACTCTGCCAGATCTTAGATTTTGGCCTTAGCTGAAAGTAAGCGTTGCGAGAAGCTCATTTGCTGATGCAATTTTTCCCGAATTATTCTGACACCCAATTTTATGGCCCTCGGAAAAGTCAAAGTTTTGAGTTTTGACCGTTTTTTTTAAAGTTTCTGATTTTCTTGAGAGTTACTGTCGCAAATCTCAGATTTTGGGTTCAATCGAAGTTAGAGATAGAGCAAATATCTTCTGCATCAGCGGCTACAACCTATTTTTCAAACAAAAAGCTATGACTCTCGGAAATGTCAAAATTTTGATTTGTTGACTGTTGGAACTATCCTGTCAAATCCGATGTCATAGGTTTAATCGAAACAACAGCTTGTTGAAAGCGTGCCTTTAAACTGGCTATGTCCAGTTTGTTTCAAAAAAAGTTATAGCCTTCAAAGAAGTCGAAGTTTTGAAAAAGTGACAGTTTTTTGGAAGCTCTTTGACTTTACGCGAAAAATACCGCGCCAATTTTCAGGTTGTGTTCAATCGAGAAGCCCGGTTTTGGGAATCCTCTCTGCCTAAGCGGCTAAAAGCTGCTTTTGCAGAAAAAGTTTGTGGATTTTGGAAATATTTTTGATCGGTGCTTAGAACGTTTGACTGTTTTAAGATTTGAATTTTCTAAAAATTTACGCAATCAAATCTGAGGTGCAAACTTCAATTGAGAGAACCGGTTGCGATAATGGGCGGCGACTCCCTAATTTTTTTAAGAGAAATTTTATCTTCTTGGGAAAATTGATTGTCAATTTTTTTTACTCCTCTCACTTATTTTAGTAGAGAAATAACTATGGTTTTGGGCAAAGTCCAATTTTTGATTTCACATTTTTGTACCGCATCAGTATAGGCATTTCATTCAATTTCAAACACGTATCTCCAGGTTTAGCTGGGTCCCTAGTTGTTTTTTTTATCAAGACATACAAAAATTTTGGTCAGAATTTAGACATACGAAGAGTTTGGTTTAAAAAAATTTCGGAATAATTTCAAGTTAATTAATTTCGCGAGATTTTCAAATGCATAATTTATACACATTTTCATTTTATACGGTACAATTTGTTTTCTGCAAATTTTGTGTGGTTGACTTTAGTTTCTTCCATTCAAATTATGCTAAATTTGTGTGAGTGACAAGGAACAATTTTTGGTTTTTGTGGTTCTGAAGCTCTTGCCGCTTTTTGCTTGTATTTGCTGAATTGCAGCTCAGGCTCAATTTAAAAACTTGGCACAAATTTGGGTCTAAGTTTTGATCTTTCATGTTTTAACAGTGTCATCGGCAAACAAATTTATTATTGAGTTAATCTGAGCTCAAATTTGCTTTTTAAGTGAAGAAAATATGGAACCTCGGACAGAACATTGTGCTACTGCTTTTGATTTTTTCCAAGATTCGAATGGTCGTTGCAGAAAATGCAGTTTGCTTTATTTCAGTTAAGTATGTCATTATCTATAAAGAAAGAAAAGAAAGAAAGAATTTATTTTCTCGATTGGTAAATACATTGACAAAATTAAAGTAATTTATCATTTATATACAATCGAGAGGGACAGCAAACGAGACCATGCGGTCTACCAACAGCTGCCCTTTAGTATAACATCAATAGTAAACAGCATTATGGAAGAAAAATAAATTTGAAAAAAAAAGTGAAAGAAAAGAAAGAGAAATTGCGAACATAAAAAGGCCATATTTTCTGCATTTTAATGGTGTGCGCGTGTGATCTCTAGTGAATTATACCTATGACCTGTCTCTCAACCATGAATATCAAAACATTTTTTTTTTAATTTTCTAAAAATTTTCTAAGTTTTTTCTGAAAAAATTTTTAGTGAGAAAAAATTCAAAAAATCACAAAAATCGTTATATCTCCTGAACTAAAAGGCTCCAGAGCATCATTTTTTTCGTCAAGAATCGCAATATATAGTTGGTGGTCTTGCAGCATTTACCCAAGGTATTCGTAGTTAAACATTTTAAAAATTAAATACTAAAGATGTCAGCTCGTTGTTATTTAATAGGTATCCATTTTTGAATTCATGATAATAACATTTAACTTTTTCAATGTTCGCATTTTCGATATCATTTAGAAGTAAACCCCTTGTTCTGAGAATATTATAAAGCCTAGATCCCCGATACGCCAATGAGTGTTTTTCGAATAGTCTTTTCCTAAATGTTTCTTTTAGCATGTTTAGTTTTCCCCTACGGGTTTCGCGTAATGGATTTTCAAATTCAAATAAATTATTCAAAAAACTTTTGCTATGAAGTTTATTAATCGATCGCAGCACGAATTTCAGTAATTCATAGACATGGAGCTCATGGACTGTTAGTATTTGATGTTTAATGAAAATGTCTTCGGAGTGGTCCCTACGATTTCTGAAAAATATTAATTTTAGAATCTTTTTCTGAAGCATAAAAATCGGCAGCAAAAATGAGTAGCTGCAACAACCGTAGACCAGAAAACCATATTGGATTGTTGTTGTGATGTTACTACGATAGTACTCTAAGAGCTGATGCCTAGGTGCGTAATAGCGTAGCTTGGAAATAATGCCCGATTGCTTGGCTAATCGCATTTTTAAATTGTCTATATGCGAAACGAACGATAATTTGGAGTCAATGTATACACCCAGATATTTAATCACGGGTTCTTTCTTAATGTTACAGTTATTTAATTGAAAGATCATTGAGTTGGAAGTCTTATTTGCATTAAGCCAGTAGTTCAGTTTGATAATGTCCTCTTCAACCCGAAGATTTATTTGACCAATTGCTGTGACATTTGTATCATCGGCAAAAAGGACAATTTCTGTTGAATTGCATGCATGAGTTTGGTCATTAATATATATAAGAAATAGTAACGGACCTAAAATAGATCCTTGAGGGACACCACATTTATTAGTCAACCATTTTGAAGAAATTCCCTTAACTTCTACACGTTGAATTCTTTCATTTAGATATGATCTAAACCATTTATGCGCATTTCCTCTGATACCGTATGATTCAAGTTTTTGTAACAGAATATTATGTTCTATTGTGTCGAAGGCTTTTTTCAGATCAAAAAAGAAACTAATTATGCTTTTATTGCCATGGGAACGCATTTTTTCAGTAAAATCAACTAGTGCAACGACAGTACTGTGTTTTGAAATAAAACCAAACTGCCTACAATAAATTAGTGAGAATTTTTCTAGATAATTATAAATTCTTGTGTACATGGCTCTCTCAAAGATTTTACTCCACACTATTAGGAGAGATATTGGTCTGTAATTGTTTTCTACAACTCTTGATCCACTTTTATGCATAGGGATAACTTTCGCTCTTTTTAATCTATCTGGAAAAATGCCCTGTATAAAGGAGATGTTAATTAAAGAAGCTAAATAAGGAATGGTTGCTGGTGCCGGTATTTTAACTAATTTGTTGTTTATATTGTCGTCTCCCGATGAAGATTTATTATCAAGATTGTCGATGATTTTTTTCACTTCACATTCTGTAACAGGATATAGAAAAACCGACTGCTCAGCCTGATTAAGAGATGGCAATGGTAAGTAATCTAAATTTTTCTTAAGCTCTGTGCCTATAGCTGAGAAGAAATTATTAAATCTCTCAGCAATATCAAATGTTGACGGAGCTTCCTTGTGCTGCAGACAGGATTCAAGCACTGGAACACTTGCATCTTTAGTATTTTTTCCACTTAAATCATTGAGTAGTTTATATGTTTGTCTTGAGTCTCCTATACATGCTGTAAATTTCTTATTATAGTATTTTCTTTTCGCCGATTTAATTTCTTTTTCTAACTTAGATCTTAAGTTTTTAAAATTTTCTAATAATATCTGATTTATTGGATTACTTTTCCATAAACGGTGGGCTCTATTTCTTTTGGTGCGTAAATTTTTTAACATATTGTTGAACCACTTTGGTTTTTGGAACTCAGGTTTTCTGTTTATTCTCATGGGTGCAAAGTAAGTTGTAATCTTGTTGAAAGCCGCAGAAAAACTGTTAAAGGATTCCGATGGATTAGTAGAATGACATATTTGTATATTATCACTTAGCTCAGTATGTAAAGCGTTTATATACATATCTGATTTATGCTTGCTTTTAATAAATTGTAGGTCACGAAATAAACGATTTTCTCGATTTATTAAATATGGAAGAGTCCATTGCAAGAGGATAAGGAAATGATCCGAGAAGTTTTGGTATTCGAGGACTTGGTGGTCTGTTTCGGTTAAATTTTGATAAAAGAAATGATCTAGACATGTATTTGTTGTATCAGTAACTCTTGTTCGTTTGGTATCGCCAAGTTCAAACCATTTCGAAAAAATGCAATTCAGGTAGTTGTTAGATAGTTGATTAACTTTTGAAATGTCAATATTAAAATCGCCATAGATAACAAAGGGAATCGAGGGTGAGGAGTTATCTTCCAAAAATTATTCAAGTTGATCAATAAATGTTAATTTGTTTATTCTAGGAGGGTTGTATAATACGGCTATTTTAAACTGGTAGTTACTTTTTTCAATTGACACAAGGGTGCATTCATCGATGCTCGTGGTAGTTTGTTTTAGGAGCTTGAAATCTTCACGTATTTGTATCATTACACCACCTCCACGGCTTTTTCTGTTACATGTTACAAACTTATTATAGCCATCAATGAGATAGCATTTACTGTCATCGTTTTCTGTTAGCCATGTTTCTGATAGACATAAAATAGAAGGAGGAGACTCAAAACTGTATACTAGTGCTTCCAATTCACTTAGATGACCTTTCAAAGAGCGAACGTTTATATGTAGCACTGAAATTTTAGGTTCCGGAGGGAGACTCCGATTGATAGAAAACACCAGTAAAGCAACTCATAACATCATTGACTGAATATTTAAGCAAATCCCCGCCTTCGTAGAGCCCGGTTATTTTCTTTATGTAATTGTCATTTTTCATCTGATAGAAAAGAGTTCCCTCTCTTGACCAAGCCGAAGCAATACGGTTGTCTCCTTTCATCAGTTTAAGAAAGTTGAGTCTCGCCTTAGTGAGGTCCTCGAATATCTTTATATCTTTCGTGCTTTCTTTCTCGTTTAATTGACGCTTCTTTTTTTAGAATTTCAACCTTGGCAACTCGCCAACAAAAACGAACAATGATGGGTTTGGATTTTCCCCCGACCTGGCAGACGATGCGCGATCGATATATCATGTTGGGTGATATTTGCACCGATGCTTTTGGCAATGTTCACTACTTTATTGGCAGTATCAGCATTAGATTCGTGGTTTCCTTCTTCGCTGGCTACACCGATAATTCGCAGGTTTTCCCTTCTGGTGTAACTCTCTACTAACTCGGTTTCACAAAGACTTTTCAGGTTCCACCGTCCTTCTTGTAAACATAATTGGCTTTTGACTTCTGTGAAAACTTGTTTCTTCGTATCACTCGTAGCGTCATCCATCATGGCCTTCATCACTTCTTTCATCTCCTGTTTTAGTTTGGCAAACTTAGTTGGAATGATATCGTTAATCGATGCTCTGATGGTTGTCTCGATTAATTGCAATAAGTTGGTGTCAGCTGGGTTTTGTTGTTCGATGGGACTTAGAACCCCGCAACCTCGTTTGTTGCAAGCCTTTGGAATGGGTGTCTGTCCTTGGAATTTGAGCATAGGGATATTTTCCGTGGCGTCTACTTCTAATTGGACTTCAGCTGGAGTGTTCGGAATTTGGGGCGTAGTTTGATTGATCATCGGTCCCGCTGTTTGATTGAACATGAGTCATGATCATTTACAGCTTCTGAAACTATTTAATAAGTTTATCACAACAACTAGGTAAGCAAGGATGTTGCAACCGGGTACTTGGCTTTTTTTCTGTATCAACGGCAATCATTATCAACTGTTCAATCTCAACTGATGATTTTATAACTTGTTCATCGCATTGGTTGGATATGTTGTATACTAGAGTTCTCGCGAAATAATTTTTTCCGTGTAAAAAATATTCGGTTGGTTTTTGGCGCTGGAGGTCGGCCGGCCTTAATTTTGTACGCTGATTTTTTTATGTTTTTTAAAATTAATTCGTTGATATTATTTGAAAATGATTGAACCCTTAAAATAAATTTCGAACTATTTGAAAGTAACTACACAGGCCTTCCTCAATTAAATTGAAAAAGTTACACCTGAAAAAAGTTTCTTGAACAACTCTAGTAGAAACCTTATTTTAAACTTTGGTTGGGCAACCGGCTGTTCTGTTTGGTGCAGCTAATTGATTTTGTGAGTGGTTGCCTAGTTTTTTGTTTACTTTTCTGGTATCCGGTTTTTCGTCTACAGCTGATTGTTTTTTGTTTTCATTGCTTTCTAGCTTAAATTGTTTGGTAAGGTAGCCGGTTTATTTGATGTGCCTGGTATTAAGCAAGCATTAAGTGCTATCAAATCCAAAAAAGTAGTACTGAAATTGGTGTAGACTTCGTGAAGAAACGCAATAGCTATCTTCGAATAACTAACTCAGAATTAGTTCAATCAAACAGCTTTTTACAGTTTACTGTTTGTACTAATTTTATTTTTGTCCTTATCCTTTTTTCCCAATCTATATGTGTTTTTGCTCTCTTATAGTCAAGCGGTTTCTCATCTCCGTTTGTTTTCGCTATGTTTTTTGTTCGCACCCTCTAAAGGATACAAAATTCGTGGAGTAGAGAAAGAGTGCGATAAAAAAAACACACAGAGAAAAGAGAAAAGATACGGAGATGTGAAATCGCTTGCCTTTAAGAGAGAAAAAACAGATATAGGTTGGAAAAAAGGATATGGACAAAAATTAAAACAGTACAAGCTGTAAAAAGCTGTTTGATTGAATTAATTTTGGGTTAGTTATTCGTTTTCTTTTTTGTGTGTCAGATTATTGAGCTTTTTGATGTCACTTTGATATTTGATATAAACAAAACTTCCCTCCCGTCTTTAGACTTGTACAGAACGCTTCTATTACAGTTCCTTTTTGATGTTATACATGCTGTACTGTCATCCTCTCCCTTCAAGTTGCTTCCTCAGGTGGTAGAAGTTTGTCTATTTACGTTTGACGTCCATGTAATGGGTTTTTTCATTGCAATTTTTCCTTCTGCCGTACACTGTTTCTAGCTTATAATCTGCAGATTAATAAGGATTCCATTCTTGTGATTGAAATATGTGAATTTAATTATCACTGCAGGCATCAACCCATATGAAAGATGCCCGCCGCTTCGTAAAATATGGAATGATTTTAAATTGCCAATATCAAAACACGCAATTGTCAAAAGTAAAGCAAGATGAACAATCTGGCACTTGGAAAAATAAGCCAGCTTTTAAAATTAACTCGCTACCAGATTCATCATTGTGGTCTTTCCCAGTATAGTCCCAACGAATTTTGTGACAAAAAATTATGGCCCCCAGTCCAACTCTGTTGTTTTATCATTATGGTTGCTATAATTCGCCAGGGGTTAAAAGGGCAAAGACCCTATTTTTTGTAACTGGACTTCACAAATGTTGTGCAATATCGAACAAGTTTTTCAGTTAGTTCTGATTTTATTTCTTGTTGATACTGCTTCCAGATTCTGGTGGGTCTACTGTACAAGGTATATCTGGGGTGGTGTGATGTGGTTTCGTGTCCCTTCAATCAGATCTGCTTCAGAGTCAACAGAGGACAAGCGCTACCTCCGGTCACCTCATGCGAAGGTTAAAAATAACTTCAAATATTTGTTAATTCGTGTCTGTTTATTTACACCGTAACGCGATAATTTCGTTGTGTCGGTTGAATAATTGTTCGTTCTACAAGGGTTATATCCGTGGGTTAAAACTCGTAAGCTGATAGTTCTGAAATAATGAAAAAATCTTCATTTTTCCAAGGAAGCAGTTTTACATGAAAATTGAGAGACTCATGTAGATGATTAAGATGAGTCTCATTTTTCATGTAAATTTGCCTCCTTGCAAAAATAGAGATTTAAATCATCTTTTCAGAACTGTCATCTTACGAGTTTTAATACACGGATGCAACCTTTGCAGAGCAAACACACCTACGGAGCAACTTATGAGGGACTGATGAGAATAACAAACAACCAACTAGACAATTAAACAAATTCTTTTTACCTGACGCCAGAAGAATTGCGATATCGAATAGAACACAACGGTAATTCTTTAGAACGTGCACGAATGAATCGCATGCACTCGTTCTGCGTAAAAACATGCCTGACAAGCCAACAACATACCTACTGACGATGTTCTACTTCATTAGGTCTCGGTGTGCCGATCTATTTCTACACGCACTCTGCTTTCGAACTGAATGCCCTCCTGGCTCCTCTGACATTCATGATCGCAGCAGTGGTGACTGGTAGTGTAGGGGCAGGAGTGGTAGCTGCTCTTGCCTTCCTGTACAACTTCGGGGAGGCCACCAGAGTCATGTGGACTCCACCTCTGAGGGAGACGTGGACTTTCCCCATCATTCATCTACACCTCTTTCTCGTCACTTGCATGCTCAAGTATGTTTTTTTTTATTGGCAGAAGTTTTATCGGAACTTTGGATGCATATTTAAATTATTTATTTGGTCCTAATGTTTTCGAGTGATCTTTGCGTTTCATCTGTAAAAACAGCCATTCCAGTCAATCAAATTTTCAAAAAAGTTCTATGGTATAGAAGATGAGATCGTGATAAATGTTCATTTAAGACTAAAACGAAGCAATTACTACTTCTTGAATACTTATCAAGTGCGAAGAAGTAAAGCTTGACTATGCGATGACATCGGGCTTTTTGAGAGAATTATTCCTATATTGAGATTTAGGCTAAAAAAACCAGTCATTTTTTGCAGATTCGAACGACAACTTGGATCTCTAACATGGTCTAAGGGGTCTCTCCTCTGCCAACTGGGAATTTTCATCACTACCTTCTACAGTGTTGCCTCATGGCAGTTCTGTCATTTCAACTTATCAGTTTTCATCATTGCAGTCTCGGCCCTCTTCGCTCTCCAGCTGATCAGCCAGACAACATTCCTCAGATTCTTAATTCCCACCACGGTATGATTTACTTTTTTAAATTAAGGAGATGTGATTCAAAAAAATGATGATAAAATATTCGTCTTTGTATGAGCATGAGAGATTTAATCGACCAGGAAATTGTTATAAAGTGGCTAAGAAAAAAGTTATTTCTGTAGAAAAAAAGCAAAAACGAGATGTTAACAAATGATCAAAAGAACCGTATCGCAGTAAAGAAAATAAAAGAAGCAGGGTTGGATCGAGGAGGGATAGTGGCAGAGTTTCAAACAAAATTCTGAAAAATTTGTCGACCTTTTTTCAGGTCGACCAGATTGGTTTTCCGAGCGCTCCTAATTCACGGCAAAGACCCTAATTTGACCAAATTTTCTACGCAGCAAACAAACTTTTGAAAAGAAAACAAAAAAGACGTTCGTAGAATTGTTTAACCCATCCCCCCTCCCCTCCCCCCACATAACTTGAATCTGTTATTGAAAATCAGTAATCTTTCGTTGCAAAACGTAAACAAAAGAAGATTGCTACTTCGCAAAATTAGCATCATCATTTCTACGTTATGGTTATTAAGAGTCGATGAAGCTCCGTTTTTCCTCAGTATAAAATTAATTTTGGATGAATACAAAGAAATTAAAGTTTTCTTTTCGTTCATGTAGTTTTTCAGGCAGTATTTTATGTTCGCCTAAAATATTTAGCAGCCCTGTTCAATTAAGACAGACAGAGAATTTTTTGAGAATTTCCTTTAAACTTTTTATAGATGTTGCATTGGACTTTCTGGTTCTCTAAGAAAACTTGTTTTAAAACATTGTCAAAAAAATGGAAACATTCAACGAGTTCAAAGATGTAGACAACTTTTCAGAAGCTTGTAAATATAAAGCTCATGAACACTTAAATTTATATTTTGAAAAAATTCCTTATAAAAGCTCTCGTATTTACGCTTGAAGCAAATCAATCCAACAATTGGATTCATGATGGAAAAGTGTGCAGTCATAAACGAGAAGACCGTACTGAATTTTGGGTCGAATATTTCAGATATAGTAATTGAAAAGGACAGCACCAGGAACACAACGCCTCCTTGTCGTCCTAATTTTGATTTAATTTTTTTTGTTGTACAATACAACCAAATAATCTTACAGAAACAATCGAAAGTAGAAACACGATATTGTTTAAGTAACAAAATGCACGTTTTCAGCTCGGCTTTGGCTCGCTTCTGTCGCTGATGCATGAAAACAAAATGATGTTGACGTCGACAATGCTTATGACTATAGCCTCTTCATGGGTAAGTGGATCCAGTTTACTAGCTGGAATCATTCGCTTACCTTTTCTATGTTTGCTTTTATAATTTTTTCTTTACCTTTTTTCTAGATTTTGTTAGCGTTCCAACGTCAACAATCGCAGAAAGTTTTGGAATCTTTGCTTTATAGGGTAAGTTTTCATCAACTTTTTGTAAAGTCTCATTTATTGATAGATTTTTATCTTGTGAGATAAGAGTCTTGGACAAGTTTCCGTTTAGATGGTGGCTCCGTTTTGTGTACTGGTCAACTCTGTGATTCTGAAATCAATGGTCACAAATCTGCTCAACATATCAGACGAGGTAACGTAAAAATCAATCTGTAAGAATTGTTTATGCTGTAGGATTAAAGATGTTTAAATTTTAGTTCGAGCAAAAATCAGGCTTTCTAAGAAATAGTTTGCCCACTGACAGAATCGAATGTCAATCCATTTCTAAAGAATATACATTTAGTTATAGCAGGGCATGTAATTATTTCTTCGGAATATTTCACTTGTGCTTTATTTCTAGATGCATATCCTGAACATTCTGAAGAGTAAGTTCACGGACTTCAGGGACTTCCACACTCTCCTATACCTCTGCGCTAAGGAGTTCGACTTCATCGGAGTGGGGGTGAGTCAGCGTCAGAAGTTTTTCCTTTTCAGCATGTATTTAAATTCGCTAATGAACGTTGAGTCTAGCCGTGGATAATTTAAGCAAGTGTAGAGAATCTGTCAATCAAGTAAATGTAATGACAAGAAGAGTTTTGAAACACGAATTAACTTCCAGTTCATCACGCGAAAGTCCATAAAGAGAAGAAGTTGAGTTTAGTTATGTACTGTTTTAGTACTTTGAACTGATGACAGCGTCCGCCGTGCTTCCCATGGCTCTGATTGCATCGCTTTTGATTGTCATACAGCTCTTTGTGTCCATGTTCTGTGCTGGAGAAAAAAGGCAACAGTTGTTCGGAGTTTCATTTCAACTCAAACCGGTAATCGCGACAAGCCTCTTAAAGAGTTAGAAAGGTACCCTTCCGCATCCTTAAATCTAGATCAATTTCTTTATTTAAAAAATGATAGAAAGTTTTATTTAGTAACATGGATGCGAATACAGTAATATGTTGCACATGCACTGTTTTTACTCCTTGAATTTCTGTTCCTATTTCATCCAAAAAATGCATCATTAGACTGTGAAAACAAGTTTCATTAACCAAGGAAGTTGTATAAATTCGTGCATGTAGAGTGTTAGCTAGAGAGACGGCCCCCATAGATGTAAGAGACAAAATCAAAACAGATTGAGAAGTGCATTTTGCAGGAGGATTTACTGCAGCTTCTGCTGTTCATTGGCTATGGACTGATGGCAGTGCTGATCATGAGACTGAAACTGTTCTTCACTCCTCATCTGTGCATCATGGCTTCATTCTGTCTACTGCCTCCAATAGTAACATCTTGTGCTTTTCAGTGGCGTGCGCAGAATGTTTTTTGACGGGAATAGATTTTTCCGGGAAAAAAATGTGGACCTGTATTAAGAATATTTTTTCATGATAAATGCCTTTCAGAGAACTTTTTCAAAGGTTTTGACCAAAAAAAAGTTCTTCGGCGCTTGAGAATTTGAGGAATTCATTTGATTAAAGAAGTTAAAATAGTTTTGTAAAAATACAGAAGCTTCTGTTTGTTGTGCCGAGTGAAATCACAATAGAGATGAATTACGAAAGTTAGATTGTCGTCTGATAGAAAAATTGTGGTTATGAAAACAATTTTGGGCAATGATCTGCGTTAAATGGTGTCTCAATTCATCGCAGATGGCAATAGTACATTGATGTATCGCTGTGTGCTAGGTGAATATGTGCAAAGCTGTGGTTCCAAAAGTGCCCTTAGGTTACGTGAGACTGAGTATGCTGGGTGTTGCTGTCTTGACAATGTCCTGTAACGGGTATCCGAATCTGAACAAAGCCATGAGTAGACAGGGAGAGTACAATGACCCTGAGTTGGAACAGCTGCTCAATTGGATCATGGACAACACAGGCAAAGGTAAATTTTGTTAACTAGTACCATATGGATTAACTGGTCAGTTTTGCAATGGAACCCCAGGTAAACTTAGACAAAGAGCTACAGCCAGCAAAAGTAGAAACGTTATTTAGACTAGTACCGAGCTTCCAGACCACGCTCTTCTTGTGGCTTACATGAAACAAGGACATTAATAGAAAATCACAATAAGTTGAATGTAAATCGTCTCCAATTAACATTGAAAAACTGATATAATACAGCTAACTTGAGGGAAACTTGTATGTGATTGAAGTCATTGAAAGAATTGAATTGTATTATTTCAAATCTTGAATGTTTTAGAGGACTCGTTCGCGGGCTCTATGTCCACTATGGCCACGATCCGCCTCACAACAGGCAGACCCATAGTCAACCACCCCCACTACGAGGACTCCCTGGCGAGGGAGAGGAACAAACAGGTGTACAGGGCATTTGCCAGATTCGCCCCTGAAGACATACACGCCACTATGCACGCACTTCAGGCCAAGTATCTGCTGCTGGAAGTGGGCTGGTGCTGGGCGAAGAGACCGTAAGTCAATGATGGATATTCAATCCCAGTTGTGTGAACAGTAAAAGAGTTATTACCTTGGTGGTTAGAAAAGGTTCTTAAATATTAATATTGTGAAAACCATTTAACAACGCGCTGAAAACTACGTGAGCATAACACTACGTGTCAAATTGTGATTTGTTTTGCAGGGTAGGTTGTTCGATAGCCGAAGCCTTTGACTATGAATACCCGCATTTGAAGGGCAGACAGGCCACCTGTATAGCGATGCGTACAAACCCGCACCCATTTCGAACTGTCTTCCAGAACAGTGCCTTCGTACTCCTGAAAACTTAGATGTTCACAGACAAAAACGGGCAGTGCAATTTATTTATTCATAAATTACTTATATGTAAAAAACAGTGTCTGTAGTCAAGAGTAAATCAATGTATATAATATAGTAAAATGTTATTTCGCTTTTTGTAAGCTTTGGTTTTGAAAATAGAGTTATTGTCGTCTCAGATAATGTTTCTCGATGTAAGAAAAGTAGGCAGGCCGATGCATAAATCTGCTGTTACTATGGGTCTCGATGCGCTATGATACAGTGCGTTGCTGAATTTAAGATCAAGTAAACCTAATGTATATAGTTGAAAATTATGCTGTAGAAGTTGGAAGAATTTTGTTAAAAAACCACAAAGCAATCCGATAGAGCATATTCATCCGAAAGAAGACTGCGACAACTGATAAACAGAAAATTGGAATGAACCGATGGATCAATATTAAGGAGTTTTAGTTTATAAACCGGTAAAATTTCTATGAAATAAGCAAAGACGTATAGTTTTTTTCTCAAGAGATCTTAATTTTGTCAGGCTCAAGTTTGATTTTGCTGGTTGGACTTTTGAAAGTCAATTCAAACTCATTTGCTAAAAACAAGGCAATTACGACTGCGTAAATTAAGCAAAAAAAATCGGTAAGAAATTTTAGGTTCAAAAGTGGATATAAATAGCAGCTGTTAATCCAATTTTCTCAAATTGAGTTACTTATAAAAAAAGAGCTTCAATTTAGTCTAATCTCTCAAATCAAGAACTTAATTTTCTCAAATAACAAGTCAGCCCTCTGTTTCTGCTTCCTTGCGTTCATTGACACCTTTCTAAATGTCTGTAGACATAAATTAGTATAGTGCTTGAAAAATGTTCACAATTTCAATCTCAATTTTGTTCGGCTGGCTGACTTTGCACCTCGCTGTATACCAAAGCCCTACCTGACAGTTCTTATGACTCACAATAGTTTCTGGCGTATGCGAAGCGCTGAAGCGCACGCAGCTTTGTCGAAGTGTCTAATTAAGCTCTGCCGGACTTGAGTTGGACAGGCAAAGCTGCACAGAAAAATTGAGCCCAATCATATTGTCTTGCAAAACAGTCCTGTCAAAAACTAGGCCAATGTTTTTCTTTGTTGTTCTGATTCGAGCCAGTTTTTTGGCAGTACTGTTTCGCAACGTCTATTTCATTGAAAGGTTTTTGAGAAAAAATGTTTGCGCTGTTTTTTGTTTCATGGGAGACCGAATAGATGCTTTCAACTAACAGGTGACAAGATACACCGACTGACAAAAGTTTGAAGAGTGATCTGCTAGATTTGGCCACCAAATTAAACATTACGAGGCCAAACTGTGCACTGGATAGGCACACCATTTGTTGTCTGTAGGTCCCTGGTATCTTAAGACTTGTTCTAAAAATTTCCGTGGATCCTGCGCTCAAATACGTAACTTAAATTTTGTAGGCAAATTAATGTTGTTGCGGATAAGAAATGAGCAAATATAGTTGAATGTTCCGGATTCCGCAAATTTTAGGAGATTCCACAAATATGAGCAGATTCAGCTGACATTTTATGGATTCCGCTTATTTTAGCGGCTTCCATTTACAGTTTGCGGATTCGGCTTACAATTTGGGGACTCTGCTTACGGTGCGGATTTCGCAACAGCGTAATTTTACTTAACATGTATAATGTTTTGTTTGTGGACACCTCAAACGTGCGCGTTGCGCAATTTGTGTCAAGAACTCCGCAACTTTCGCAGACACCGTAAACACGCCTGTTTTTAGAGCGATTTTGATCAACGCAGTGTTTTAGCTATTTGTTCGTGGAAGCTAAGACAGGAAGGATAAAAAGCTAGCAATGTTGCAAATTCCGCAACAAATCGGTTTTTGTCTTGTTGCAGAATCCACTTACACTTCTTAAAATGCACAGTTTGACCTCGTATTGAATGAATATAACTATAGACATTAATTAATTCTGTGTTTTTACCGAGGAGAGTTTAAACTTGTTCACTTAGAATTTCTTTTTGCTGTGTTACTTTGAGTTTATTTACCATGGGTAATTTTAAAGCTCTACTGGACTACCATTTATTTTTGGTTTATGCGGTGCGCAGATTTTTTTTTTGCCGCAAATGTGATGGACAAAGCTAAAGCTGCACAGGAAAAAATCGGTTGGCGGAATCAGTAGAAAGCGCGCAAATTGCTATTCGGTTTTTAAAGTTGATTTTCATGAAATTCTGGCCAAAAATAGTTGTTTTACGCTTATCATTTGCTTAGGATGAATTGCGAAATTGTACAAGTAATTGAGTTTCAAGAAAATAGGTTTTGAATTTAAATTTTTTACCTTTTTTAAATTAATTTTTGGTTTTTTTTTCAATTAATCTTATTTAAAATGTTTGAAAGTAGTTTTCATGTTGTTTCTTATCTTCTTATGCAGAAAGCACTATTTAAAAAAATGTTTTTGATTATTTCTTTATTTCGTTTTCAATTGTTTGTAAACAAATATAAATGCCAGCACTACGGCGTAACAAAAAATTTCCTCTGTCACAAAAATTTCATTCGCCTCGATTGAGTTTCTCAAGGGAATTTTAACGAATCATAGGGATAAGAACATTGCTATATTTGATCTAATTTTGCAAATTTTCAATTATTTCAGAAAAAATTTGAAACAAGTTACAGTTACACAGTAAATTTTGCACGCTGTTATTCAGACATCTATTTTTTGCATCGCAAATGGCGCGAAGCACCTCTTCGCTTCTGTCTTACAACAATTCGTCAAAACGTAGCAATTAACTCAAAACGTTAGATTCATCCAATTTTTATCAAACCTAATCAAATTTAATTTATTCCAACTGAAAAAAGTAACAATTTGCCTAAAAAAAATAACAAAAAATTGTTGGCGCACAAGTTCAGTACCCTTCATTCATTTTGCTAATTGTTATAATTTTTCTAAAGTAGTTTTTACACAAGCGAACTACACGGCCAGTCTTTTTTTTGACCGAAGGCGCACCTAATGCAATTTTTTGCACGTACTAATTTGTAGCACACTTGACTTCGAATCTAAAAAATTATCTTTCAATTCCGGAAGTTGTCTTACAAATTGATCATGTTCAGTTATGGTCTTTTGCGGTTTAATTTTGAATTTCACCTTAAGTTCAGTTCTGAGTCATTTACTCCAAGGAGGGCAAATTACACTCTGAATTCACAAAAAAATGGCGGAAAAAAATGTATTGTTAGTTTTGAAACAAAAAACATTTGAGTTCTCAGCAGAAAAAAAAATTTTTTTGAGCAACATATTTAGCAAATTTTTTTTGTCTTTGAACTTTGAAAAGTCGACGGAGTTTTTTATGAATAGTTAATTAATATATTTTTTTTCAATTTTCCACTTTCATTGACCTTCGTGCTTTTAGACTCATTATCTACAAAAATAAATTGTAAAAAACTTTGAGCTCGTCTATTTAACTAAATATTGCAAACCCTTGCAAAATTGTTATAAAATGAATCACGAGCTTATTAATCGAGCTAAATTAAAATGAGCTAATTGTTCTCAATTATTCCAGCACTTTTTTTTCTGTAGTTACTTAATTTTTTTTTACCTTTTTTGTTAGCTCAGCTTTAATTCAGTAAACATGATTAGAATGATTTTGTTGATTCGAAACTTATAACCCAGAAAACTATGAAAGAAATTCCCAATGAACGTTTTGAAGCGGTTTATTTATGCCATATCGGTATCTTTTTTTCTTTGTTTTTTTTTTCAAGAAAAAAATTGAAATTTGCTCATGATTGATTTTGAATTTTCGGCCGTTTAGGTTTTGATTGTTTGTTCAATATATATAATCAGATAAAAAGCTACGCTTTTCAAAGTTATTAAAAAGCAAATGCAGCTAAATTTTTGTGTTTCTAAATCAGATTTATATTTTTAGATTTCCAGCGAAAAAAATGGCTGTAATGAGCTTTGATCAAAACTTTGGTCAAAATTTTTTAAAAAAACATCGGTCATTTTATTGTATTCAAATCTTAAGAGAAAGCTTACATCGATTTAGTAAATTTTGCTTATTTGTTTCCTGGGTTTCAAAATTTCGTGCAAAGATTGAACGTTTTATATATGCTGCTGAGACCTGATTGCGATTAATTGCTATACGAGTTAACATTTTACAAGCGATCTCTGCATTTTACCACTGCCTGGTAAACTGTCTCAAAAATTTCGATGAAAGTGTTTTGATCTGTGATAAACTATTTGTTTGGAATGGTGTTTTTCAACACGCAACAGCAACGTTTTGCAACAGTTTACATACAAAGCAAATATGAAATGCAGAAATCGCTCTCATAAAAACCTCTGTCTTTTCAATCTTGACCAAATACTTCAGTACACGAAAAAAAATCAATCGAAACTTTGAAGTGTATTCATAGAAATTCAATATTTTGATTGCGCTTGCGATTAGCAAGCGTTATCAAGTAGGAAATGTTTTTCGGGTTAAAAACTAGTTTACAAAAATCAGTTGAATCACTTATGATGCGTTTGGTTATGCAGCTGACATGCTCAATTTCATGAAAATTCAATCTTAACTACTGTGTGGGCATTAATTAATTTAGGGTTGTTTCAGAGGGGACTTAAAGTTTTTAATAAAATCAGTTTTTTCGGCCCAAGTGGTCTTTGCTCAAAGATTGTCGCTTCGTATGTTTTGTTCAGTTGCTTGCTAATTTGAATTGTCCTAATTGAAAGAATGATGTTACTCTTCAAAAGAGTTAAAGCAAAGGGCGTTTGAGGTTTAAAGGGCGTTTGGGAATTACAGGCAAAGGGCATTTGGGATGTGTGTTTCTAACATAAGTCAGAGTATCACTGATAATCAACGAAGTCAAAGTCAAACTGATAATCGGCGGAGGAGGAGGATCAAAACAAGAAAGGAAGGATCCGGGAAAAAAGCCAAAAAGCCAACAGACAGTTGGAAAAGAGTCAAGAAGGCAAAAAAAGTTGAAACGAAAAACTTCAAATCAAAAAAAGATATGGCTTTGCAGCTCGTTAAATTTCAAGAACAATTTATGATTGACATTTTATTGATAAAATAAATTGAGTTTGAGAAGTCTTGATCAACCAGTAACATTCGCAGATGAGGACCTTTACACTTTTGTTATTGAAGAGCGCAAGTTATTTAACTTTTAGCAGTTCGAATTGAATATATACGGAGATAGTGCTTGTCTACCTAGAATATTAATAAATTCATTATTTAGTATGAATGCCAGTCGGTAAAAAATTAGAGACTTCAAAGA